GGATTCAAGGATTCAAGGATTCAAAGCGTTTATTGTCATATGCCCAGTGAGGAAAACAAGTTTCCCTGAGCAATGAAATTCTTACTTTGCTGTCCACAATGAATGCCAAGACAGTGCAAAACTATACACACACATACACAAACTATACACATATACATACATACATACAATGTAAGAAACATAATAATAAAAACTATGCTGCAGCAGTAGGAATAAAGACTATGAAAAAAATAGAAATATAGACTATGTGTATCTATATATGCGAGTATAGAGTAGAAATATAGAATGTGAAAATAGAAATATAGACTATGTATATGGTATCTACATATGCGAATGTACAGTATTAACTTATGTGCAAAAAAAACAATAGTGCAGTAACGTGCAAATTGAGTGCAAGTACATGATAACAATAGCAGCAGCAACAATTATAAAGCATTAAAATATGTAAATTATATAATTGAATTTTAATTTTAATTTTGCTCTAAACATTGCACATATGTATGGTAAAATGTACATTTAAATACAGAAAAACATTGCCATTTTACATATTGCATTGTTATTTTGCATATTACATTTCAAAATGAATTATGCTACCCATATGCTTCCATATGTAACTGCAGCTGCAGGGATGCAATGACTTTACCAATTAGCAACCGGCTCTTTTATTTAGAAGCGGGACTATTCCACCATATTGTGTGTTGCACTTTCTCCCATTCAAGTATTATATGTGCACCATCTTTGCACATTTAAAATATTTGGTGTTACTTTCAAAAGCAGTTTAATTACAATATGTTGAATGAATTCTGAAGAGAATATGATAAAGTAACAGCTTTGTCATGTTTCTTTAAAAAATAAATCTGTTCTTGATTTTCCCTATGTTTTATTAACTTAATCATCTTTTATAACAGCAGATTTGATTCTGAAAAAAATCTTGGAAACTCACAAATCCAAAATGCAGAAGAAAGCAGAAAATATTTTTGAGGGCAAAGAAAAAGCACATTTCAAGGCTGTTTACACAGAGCTGTTCATCACAGAGGGAGATATGAAGGAGGTTCATCAGGAACATGAGATTCTGAAGATTGATGATGCTTTCAACAAGAACAAGCAAACACAGGACAAACCAATCAAATGCAATGATATATTTATATTATTAAGGGAAAACAATGAGAAGAAGATTGTTCTGACCAAGGGAGTCGCTGGAATTGGAAAAACGGTCTCTGTGCACAAGTTCATCCTGGACTGGGCAGAAGGAAAAGCCAATCAGGATATACACTGTGTGTTCCTGCTTCCATTCAGAGAGATTAACTTAATGACCAATGAAGATTTCAGTCTCCACGAGCTTCTGCTGGAATTCTATCCTGATCTGGAGGGCCTGGAGAAAACAAAGTTATATAAGGAATGCAATCTAGTGTTTATATTTGATGGACTTGATGAGAGTCGTCTGGCTTTGAATTTTAAAACTAGAACATCACCAAGAGCCATTGTTGAGAAAAGATCATCTGTAGCTGTGCTGTTCACAGGTCTGGTCAAAGGGACTCTGCTTCCATCAGCTCTGGTCTGGGTGACCTCACGACCAGCAGCAGCCAATCAGATCCCTCCTGAACATGTGGGTTTGTTCACTGAGGTGCGAGGATTCACCGACCAACAGAAGGAGCAGTACTTCAGAAAGAGAATCACAGATGAGACCCTGGCCCCCAGAATCATCTCACACATTAAGACGTCACGTAGTCTCTACATCAGTGAGAAGGATCTGAAAGAATGTGGTATTGATGTGAGTAAAGACATTGAGTTCACAGGAATGATCGCTGAGATCTTTAAGAAGGAAAATGTACTTCATTACAAGAAGGTCTTCTCCTTTGTGCATCTGAGTGTTCAAGAGTTCCTCGCTGCAGTGCATGTGTTCCTCTGCTACCTGAACAAGAAAATGCAGGAGCTTCAGTTTTTCTTTGATGAGCCAGAAGAAAATGTCACATTGCAGGAGCTACTGCAGAAGGCTGTTGATAAAGCCATGGAGAGTAAGAGAGGACATCTGGACCTGTTCCTGCGGTTTCTGATGGGCATTACACTGGAATCCAGTCAAAACCTGCTCCAAGGCCTGATCACACACACTGAAGACACCACAGAGAGCATCAGACAAACAACTGAACACATTAAACAAGTGCAAAACAAGAATATCTCAGATGAAGCTTCAGTCAACCTATTCTACTGTTTGCTTGAGCTCAAGGATCTTTCATTATATGAGGAAATCCAGAGATACCTCAGTTCAGATGCACATCCAGGAAGAGACCTCTCATCTGCCATGTGTTCAGTGCTGACCTACATACTGCTGATGTCAGAGAAGGTGCTGGATGAGTTCAACCCAAAGAGATTCACATCATCACAAAAAAACTACAATAGACTCATTCCAGCTGTGAGATGCTGCGGAAAAGCCCTGTGGGTAATTTCACTGACTGCTGTTTGATCAAATGTTTTATTCTACATCACTAAACAATTAAATGTCAAAATACTATGTAAAATATCTTCTTGTCCTGATTATGAAGGGTAAAATAAGTTATTGCAGAAACACTGAACATCAGAAAATAATCAGCATAACCTTCTGTTTGGGCAGATTTGACGGCTGTGGTCTTGATAAGACATGCTGTGAAACTGTATCTTCAGCTCTCCAATCATCAGACTCTCATCTGACAGAGCTGGACCTGGGTAGCAATCACCTGCAGGATTCAGGAGTGAAGCTGCTGTATGATGGACTGAAGAGTTCACACTGTCAGCTGAACACACTGAGGTGTGACATTCACTGAATCACTGTGTTACAACATGTGGATGAATTGGCGTTTCATTACTATAGCTAGCAGATTTTCCTGTTTATATTGTAGAATGAATGTATCAGTGATGTTTCTCCAAGGACACAAGGCAGGCAATGTCTACTCAAAAAACCTGATGAGAAAACAATCAGGGTTTCCAAGCATCCTGGAACATTTGGAATTTTGTAATGCAGTTTTATGAGAATTGAAATAATACCTTAATTTCCTTAAGTGATTCTTTTGAACAGTTTGTTTCAATTTACAATTTCAAATCAATTTAAAACATGTTCCCTTTCTTTATGCATTTGTTATAGAAGCTCTATTTTCGCTTCGTCAATCAAATCCTCTGCACACATTTATATTACTTTCTTATATTATAATACTTGCCTCATTTCAGTAGGACAGATTCAGTGTGTTGATAACGTGAACCGCTGTGACCAGATCACTGAGTCAGTGAGTTGTACTGGATCAAATTGTTCATGAGTCAGTTTGATTTGCTGCAAACTTAACACCCAGCAGTTGATCCTGAGGGATTTTTTGACATGCCCTGACATTTGTGCTTATTTCTGTTACTAATACCATTTTAATGCCTTTTTAATGTTTATGTTGTATTTAGGACAAACATGCAGTCGAGATTATAAGCCTGATAAACACATTAATATGGCTGTTTTTTGTTCTCTTCACAGGCTGTATGGCTGTAATCTCACTGCTCAGTCTTGTGAGAGTTTATCATCAGCTCTACAATCCTCAAACTGTGTCCTGAGAGAGCTGGACCTGAGTAACAATGACCTGCAGGA